AGACACATGTCATGGATTTAATTGGTTTTGCCAAAGTCGTGCGACACATTTGTATGTTTATCTAGAAAAGGTCAACCTCCCCAAAACCTCTTATAGTCCCTTAAGGACATGCAAAAAAGAAGACAAGTTAGAAAAAACATTTAACTCAGGATCTCATAAGTAGCCATTTCAGCAAACACTTGATAGACAATACAAATTACTAACATGAACTTCAGAAGTCTTGAACAGTTGTGTGATAAAGGATCTACGATGGTCCGTCACAGCCAAAGGTCCCCACAAGTGTCACATGATGCTACTGTAAAACAAGATAACGAATCAACCCTAGACACTATCCTAAATGACCATTCAGTAATGTGCTACCCAACTAGCTCCTAGGTGATGTGTTGGCTAACACTTCGTATCACTCTAAGGAGCTAGAAAACCCTCAAAATGGTTATTTGGATGGCTTATTTCTAGATAGTTTTGCCTTTATGCGATAACTACACACCAATTACATTTAAAAGCCTGAAACGAACATAATGCCAACCAAAATAGGGTTGCTAAGCCTACTATAAGCCATCTACATATTGTGCAAAGTATAAATAAAATCGAAAGACATGAACATACATAAGCATTACATCGAACACCCTATTTATAATTTTGTTCATGATATTTTCTCTCATTTATTCCTTTGACATCCTCGTTGAAACTTTTGTGGATGTTGCATTTCCTCGCCTTTGCTGAATCTTTAATCTTTTGCTCTAATTACAATGCGGCTTTTAACTTCCAACTACTCTCTGTTGCTATTGTTGAGTAATCAAACTTTGATTCACCACGTTGCTTCGACTCCCCAATGACTTTTGTGTGGGGTCAATCAAGTTGTACTGATCTTTAATGATTCCTATAAATTCTTTAAATGAAGGAAAAAACCTTCCTTGTTATGTGTTAATCTCTTAAATATCTCGTACTATTTAAACTAGGTAGATGCCTGTTGGAACTTTAATAAGCATTATCTCACAAACTTTAAAAATTTTGAGTCTTCCCCTAGTAGAATTTGCCTATTAATTCTTCTTTTACATAGTTATCGCCTTCAAGTAGGTTTCCATTACTTTCGCTTTTGATTAGTATTATATTAAAAACTGAAGCAGATAATCCCCTCTTGATAGAACCGATCATCTTTAGTGAGAATTTAACAATTGTTATCATCTACTTTCTTCGAAGAATTTTTGAACATGTGCAAAACTCCTCTATTAGAAAATTAAGATAATTATAGTACTCAGTTTTGCCCATTCTCTTAAGAGTTGAGAAAATAAATGTTACTTGACTTCGCTTGCCTCCTTAAAGGTTGTACTTCATGCAGCGAACTGGTTATTAGCTTATGATTCTTTACTCACACTTTCAAAACACCCGAAGTATGTGTACTCTTTGCCCTGAGTTGACAATTATGATTCACCTTTTTATTATTATCAAACTTCTAGAATGCAAGAAGTTTTACCCAAAAAGCATAATTTTTTACCCCTGACTTAGAGCAAGTCTCTAATAGTTTTGATTGCCTATGAGATTATATCGTATTTTCCATCATTTTTATCGCATACTCCTTTGAATATAAAATGTATGACATCATGTACTATCTATTTTGTTCCTTGGTAAAGCACCCCTCTATCGACCCAAAGTCTCTCACTTTTGACTATTTTAATGAGAAGTCTGTTGACACTAAACTTACAAAGTTATCTGGTCTCTACCCTTCATCCTTGTTTCGGTACTTGGAGTTTGCCTCTGCATTCTTCACCTCCTTGACCCCTTTCATGACCAAACGCTCTCCCTCTATGAGAATAAGGGATCGATCCATGGAAGTCCTGCTTCTATGGTATCATGACATTGCCATGCCTATGTCCATACTATTTGTCACCTCGCATCTGCGTCTCTTTTTTTATGATTGCTAGATCCGTCTCCATAGCACTGTGGTACTCCTTTGAGTTTATCTTCATTATAACCAACACTTGGTTTTGGGTAACTAAGTCTCTCTAGACTCATCGTCACTTCCTTGTCCTTTTTGATCACCTGCTTTAACATCTTTGTGTTCTTCGAGTAATTCCTCTTGTCAAGGGTAAGATAAATAATAACTATAATACATGGCCTTCACCATCATGTTACAAGGCTCGCATCATTTTTGTTCTTTACATTCTTGGTAGTAATATTCACTTACTCGGTTTTGTACTTTGACTTGTCAAGCTCTCTTAAGCGAATATAAGCTTTGAAGTATTCCAACTCTCTAGTCACTCCGATCATACCTCTATATAATTAAGTCCCCCTATGGGACTCATTGATACTTAAACTCAGAATTCCCCCCTAGTAGTACATGCATGCATAGAAGACTCACCTCTGTGATACTATGACATTCACTACTTGAATCTATAACCCTTTTTATCGTAGTGTTATTATCTAAAGTGGACCTCCCAGTAACTAATGATTATACCATTATATGATTAAGTCCCTCACGGGACTTCTCCCGTGTGTGTCACATTGCCTCAAATTATTCCACTATAATTTGTTATATCATGTTGCCTCTAGATGACATCTCTATTGCATTTTGATCTTTGTGAGATAAACTCGGACTGCGATCTCTCCTAATGCAGCCTTTGTCAACATAGCACAAGGCTTCTATCACCTTCGATTGTGTTCACTCCTTTGGCAATCAACATTCATCCACCCATTCTCAGGTTACAACTAAACGAAATGCATCTCTAGGATAGTTTCTTGCCTAGCAACTCTTGAAGTCCATTAACTTCGTTAAAATTGGTATATCATTATTTGGATCATAGGCCCTTGCCTCCAACACAATCTTTACTGTATATTGCTTCTTTTATGGCAACTCGAATAGTAGCACTGTAATATATTTTTCAAGAGTACCCATATCCATCTTCTCTTGCCTCATACCAAGTCCTTTGGATCAAAACTTCGTCACTGCAAGTTAAGTCATCTTAGTTCCTCCGTCTAGTGCTTTATCGAGATAAGATGCAGGTGCCTCGAAGCTCCCTTTGACCTTAGCACCATATAAGATCAGTCCGCTCCATCAGAATGAGAGACCCATGAAATAATATGATCTCGCTTTTGCCTTTGCCAGAGTTCATATTCTTGACCTTTTTTTAAGGAAAGTTTTATGCCTCCACTCCAAGTTTCATCTTCTATGTCGACTCCTTTCATACGACTTGGGCACCTCACTAAGTTTCACCTAAGGTGCTTTACTCCTCGGTTTGTATTAGATTGATGATGGCTCTCGCGCTCATCATTCCATAGGTCAAACCTGCATTGATTCTAATATCTATATTAACTCTAAGTGTGTCTTTGTTTAGTGTTGCCTTGGGTCGTTCCCCTATTTGATCTCATAATGCGTCCACCAATGTATTACCTCGTACGAGATTATGTGACGAGTTCTCATCACTCACTCAGTTCGTTGAGCTTTGTGGAGCTGTTATCTTGAGGTACCCCTTCTCAATATGTGTGGTCTATTGTAGATGATTCTCCCTTTGGAGAATCAAGGCTTATCCCTTTCAGATATCTTTCTCATTGGGTTTTTTTTTCTTCACATCATTCATTTTAGAAGTTTTAGAGATCACCATCCCCTTGGACTACTCCGCCTTACACTAAACTATGTACTATTCTACCCCTTTGAACACACTTACTATATTGCAACTCTTAACCAATATAACCCTTGTTATGCCTCTCAAAGCTTCGCAACATGCTGAACTTGTTGCACACTTCATAACTTTCCCATACCAAAGAGAAAGTTTTAATGCTTTAAGGCTCTGAGTTTCGATCGCCTTGAGATGACCATGGATAGTTTATTATTCACATACAAGCCCTTGCATGAATACCAAATTCTTCAAGTTAGCAATTTCCCTCACTTCTATGAGCTTTGCACAACTATTTTAGTCGCCAATCAATCCATCCCTCCTTGCATGATCTCATCCTTTTTCAAATACCTTGCTTTCTCTTATGGTGCCTCTCGTGCTAAGGGTTGGTCGTTTCTTTGAATATTAATTTCGGATACCCACTCTACTAAGCGACTCCTTTCCCTATATTTCAACACTTATTTTCCTTAAATGGTCACGCGTACTGGCTGCCTTCAATGCAGTCCTACTAAATCTCTCACATTTGTATGCCAAGTGTTTCTAAGTATGCTTGTCCCACTCTTATACCATCTATCACAGACTTATCTAGTTTTACCTAAGTCATGTGATACCCTTGCGTTTCGTCCATGAAAGGTTAGCCCTCTCAAAACCTCTTATGGTCCCTTAAGGGCCTGTAAAAGATAAGACAAGCTAGAAGAAATGTTTAACTTGAGATCTCATAGCAGTCATTTCAACAAACACTTAATAGACAATATAAATTATAAATGTAGACTTTGCAAGCTCTAAAAAATCACACAACAAAGGGTTTAAGGTGATCTGTCACAGTAAAAAGTCCTTATAAGTGCTCGTATGATATTACTATAGAACAAGATAACGAATCAGTCCTAAACACTACCCCAAGGGCCCATCCAATCATATGCTTCCTAAATACTACCCCAAGAGCCCATCCAATCATATACCACCCGAGTAACTCTTGGGTGATGTGTTGGCTGACACTTTGCACGTAGAGCTAAAGAACCACTAAAATGATTACTTGCATGATATGTTTCGGAATAATTTTACCCATATGTAAACATAATGTAAGCTCTCTATATGCGATGTAAAATAAAAAAGATATGAATATTTATAAATATTACATCCAATATCTTATTTGCAGTTTTGTTT